TACGCCGGCGGCGACAAGAACGATGCACACCCTTTCGGCCGTCTTAGAGGGCCATCTTGAACACGTATTGGGCAATCGTGAATGTATCGCGAGCCGCGTTGGGGCCCTCTTGGGTTGTCTTGGGGACCTAATGCTAAGAAGATGTTCCGAAAGCCTGTTCCAAAGGATGTTTCGAGCAAGGGCCCAACGTTCTGCAAAACGCGTCTTAGGGCAACTGCTACAAAAACTATGTGTTCCGAGGATGTCTCAGGCGAAACGGCAGTTTCTAACGATTCGCTAAATTTCGCGAGCGAGCTCAGTAGCTCATTTCCCGAGGATGTCTCGAGCGAGAGCTTCATTCATTCTTGACAAAAGACGCCTTAACCACGCGGCTTCAACATCTCAATGTTTAGAGGATGTCTCAAGCGAAAAGGCCAATGTGAGCGGAATCCGCCAAGCGATTGGCCTTTGCGATCGGGAGCCAGTTGTGCCTCGCGAGTTTGTTTATTTCTACCTTATTCAGCGCATGCTAGACAACTCCAATCACCTTCTCGCTCCGAGAAGGCGCTTCCAGCCATCCGACAAGCAAGCGCCCCGATGCGATCGCGAGTCCATTGTCCCTCGCGTCTTAGTTCTTTCTTAGCAAGTAGAAAACATGGCCTAACAAACTCCCATCACCTTCTCGTTCCGAGAAGGCGCTTCCCGTGATGAATTTGAGACCCCGAGCCAACGGTCCCTCGCGTCTTAACACTGTATTTTCCCTTATTGAGAAGAACCTAACAAACTCCACCACCTTCTCGTTCCGAGAAGGCGCTTCCCGTCATCCGAAGAGCCAGAGATAATTTGAAACGCCGAGCCAGGGCCCCCTCGCGTCGCAACACCCCATCGATTCTTCATTGAGAAGAACATGATAAACTCCACCGCCTTCTCGTTCCGAGAAGGCGCTTCCCGTCACCCGCTTAGCCTGTCCCCCGTGCAACCCGCCACCCCCTGTTAGTAAGAGATGTCTAGACATGTTGCAGATTCAGCCACGACGTCCAGCGTCCAGCTCGCTCCTCGTACCTCGAAGACGCTCCCCGTCATCCGCCAGCCCTTTTGTGGGGCCATCAAGCTGCGAGGGTCAGGTTTCAATGCCCTGCGCCAGTTCCAGTTTCCAGTGTCCCATGTTGCAGCCATGCTTTCTGCTTTCTACTGTAAGTTGTTGAAGTCCGCGCGAGGGAGGGGAACTGAAAAACGTCCGGTTACCACCCCCGAATCGCGCTGTCTGAATTCCTGCGGGGCCGTGGGGCACGTAGAAATACATGAGATTCGCGCTCCCGACGCAAGAATCCCTCGTGCGTTGCGCTGTATCCGCGC